TGAGCGCTTAACCATCGGTGCCACCCGGAGACTCTGTGCCGTCTCTAATGTGGGGAAGCAATGCGGCCTGAAGTTGCCGGCCGTGGAGGGCCTTCCTCTGGCAGCGCCACGCCCACTCTGCTCACTCAGCACCTGAAGACCTTTCTGGACAAGTCAAGAGTGTAAACGCGCAAACAGGCATGCCCGGCCCATGCCATGCTGGCCTCCTAGTTCTGCGCTAGCAAGTGTCCGCTGCGTATTGGCTGCCTCCACGAGAGAGAGACGGGACTTGCCAGCAGTGGCAGGGCCCCCATCCTAGACCATGCCTGGGCCCACAGAGCCTGGCCACTCTGTAGTCGGTGGTTATGGGGTATATGGAGGGGGGGGAGGTTTGTGCCCAGCCCACCTGGTGATTGGCTGCAGTAGGGGGTGTCAGTGCTCAGAGAAGGGCCACTCAGGCTGCCCCTGAGGCTCCCGGTGCATGCCCTAGCCCAGGATCCCAGCCACCTTATCTCCGCACAAGACTGGGATCTGTGCCACCGACACCCCCACCCCCTGGGAAGCAGGAGCTCTCCAGAGCTAGCAAGCTGAAGGCACGTGGACACCAAGGTCGTCACTCCAGCCACTGTCCGTAATCAGTGCCCCTTGGCATGCCATCAGGTTATGTCAGTGTCGAGTGTGATATGGATGGATTTTTAATACCAAAATGTAATTCATCTTGGACAAATCTCAAGGGAATTATACTGAGTAAAGGGGAAAAAGCCAATTCCAAAATGTTACATGCAGCATGCTTCCACTAAGTGATGTTGTCAAAATGTAAAATTACATAGACGGGAAACAGGTCGTGTGGGTGGAGAGCAGGTCATACGGAGGGAGAGCAGGTCCTCTGGACGGAGAACAGACTACACGCACGGGGAGGAGGCTTTGTGGATGGGGAGCAGGACTGCGGTTGTCCCAGGTCATGGCTGGGGGACTGGCGGGCACGGTTGTGAAGGGACAGCAGAAGGGAGCCCTGTGATGATGGGATGCTCCAGAATGCTGACTGGCAGTGACCGCACACGCCCACACACGGGCTGAAACTGCACAGAGCTACACACACGCCCACACACGGGCTGAAACTGCACA